CTTCCTTCCAAGGAGTGGCTGATGGATTTTTGAACCGCCAGCCTTCTGGTTAGCAGTCAAGTGCTTTAGGCACTACGCTACCAGAGTCCCCAAGTAGTTATTGTAATAATGGGTGATTCACAATGGCAGCAATGGTAGTTGGGATAAGGAAGGCAGGGAGGCTGATGTGCTATTAGGGGAGGATCCATCTGGATGACTTTCTCATCAAGTCATGGTCACAGACAGTAGGTACCTCTGCCAGACCCTGGGGTAAAGGGCACCCCAGGCAGGTAGGCCCAGAAGCCAAGTATCTGATGGGGAGATTATACACCATAACTGGGGCAAGTATGGCAACCAGCAGTTCTTCAACTTTAATTGAGTTACAGTCAACTGGGGTGCTTGTAAGAAGCAGAGATTCCTGGCTTCTACCTCTAGCAATTCTGATTCAGCAGGTCCGGGGTGGGGCCCAGGAATCTGCATATTTAACAGGGGTCCACAAGTGGTTCCTATCTTGGTAAGATAGACTGTACACAACACTTTGAAAATCACTGCTATAGATATTTTCCTTAGGATGATCCCTGACAGTTTCTTCATTTCACCAGCTACTGTGATCGGTGCTGAAGGTTGAGAATTATACAAATACTTTAACAACAACTGTAACCAGTTCTTGAAAAGTCCACTATGTGCCAAGCAGTAAATAGGTGCTTTGCTTATGTTACCTTACTGGATCCTCATAAACCCCCTATGAAGTAGGTACTGTTAGTCCCATTTTACAGATGAGGAAATTGAGCCTTAGTGAGGTTAAATAACTTATTTGAACCAGGTTTGTGTGATACCAGAGTTCTCCCTCTCCTTTCTTCAATGCTGCATTGCCTTGTTTAAGATAGAATGCTTGTTCTTAAGACTCTTACTGTCTCCTAAGAATGTTGTGTGATAGAAGTAGAAGGTTGGGATAGGGGAGTTCTAATAAAAAGACTTGGAGTCACATTATGGCCTTATATGGTATGGCATTAGGAATATCACTTCTTTCAGTCTGGAAGGAATGGATTTAAACAGGAAGGTACTCACATGGTAGCACACTGGGAACCAAGGCCTGAATTTGCCCAGTAGATATTTTGTTTGGCCAGCATGGTATATTTAAAAGTTTTCAATTTGGAGTCTTAGGCAAAGTACATACTGTCCAATTTGTCACAGGCCCTACCATTCCCAGTTATATTACACACTGGTTTCACATGTTGATCTAATATGCCAGGGTCCTCAAAGGCATTTGAGATTGCTACCTCTCTTAGCTGAATGGAAGCTAGCTAAAATACCATAGCACAAATGCACAGTATCTGTGAAAACATGTTTGGGCTCCCTAATATATATACAACACATGTTGTCAACGGAAGCATTGAAGAGATAGAAAATTTCAGCCTAATAAAATTCTAAAAAGATCATACCTCATGTTAACAGGGAGATTGGAAAGTAGCACGTTTCATACACTCCTGGTGGGACTGGAAAATGGTTTATATCCTTTTGGAGGGCAACTTGGCAAAATGTAACAAGAATCTTTGATCCTGTTATGCTTTTAGGAATCTAGTTTAAGGAAATAACCCAACAATGGTATAAAGATGGGCAATACAGCATGTTTCTAACATAAACAATTAGAAAACAATGGAACATCAGCAATGGAGGATTACTGCAAAAGATTTTAAGTTGATTGTGGGGATTGCAGTCAGTGTCCTGGAACAAATTGTGTATGAACACTTGAATAGAAAACTAATTTGCTCTGTAAACTTTTACCTAAATCCCAATAAAAAGTAAAAAAAAAAAGTTTTCCAAGTATGATATAAGAGTAAAAACATCATAAATATGTATAAATATTACTATCCTAATTTGTATTTAAAGTATACTAACCAAAAACAAACCAAACTCACTGCCATCGAGTCGATTCCGACTCATAGCATCCTCCTTTGGATTTCTGAGGTGGTAAATCTTTATGGAAATAGATTGCCCAGTCTTCCTTCCATGGAGTGGCTGGTGGGTTTGAACCGCCAGCCTTCATACAGAACAAAGATTGAAAGGAAATGGGTCAAAACAATCATCTCTGGCAGAAGGATTGTGGGTAATTGATACTATTTTCTCTCTACCTTTCTGAATTTTCCAAATTACCCGTAATGAGCGTGTATTATTTTTATAATAATAATAATAATAACCTGTAACGGTCATTAAGGAAAAAAAGAACATTACAGTCATCCAGATCTGAGAGCTAATAGGGACTTGCACTTAGGTGGTAGCAGAGGAGATTGATACAAGAGTCATTATTAAAGGAAAATCGTTATGACTTGGTGATTCTGTGTGGGTAACGAAAGGTGGAGAGAGCAAAAAATAATTTCAGGTTTCAGGTCTGGTGATTGAGTGAATGATGGTAACGTTGGCAGCAAAATCAGATCAATTCTCTTTCTCAGAGATGGGAAAATCGCTTTTTCAATTTGCTGTGTAGAGAGTAATATGTTGTTTTTGTCTCGATGTGTTAGATAATTCTATAATTTATTGAGGCACATATACTGACAAGATGAACCACTAAAAGCATAAGGTGTTTTTGTTTGTGGTCGTTGTAGACCATTAAATAAAATTAGTGCTTTAAAACTAAAAGTATAATAAATATGCCAGAGAGGGAAAAGGATAAAAGCAAATTTTCATGTCTGTTTCTTAACCAAATGAATAATACATTTTTTTTAACATGGCAACAGTTTTCATGAGGTGAACTACATATGCAGCAGCCTTTTATTTCTAGAATCATCAAATTATAGCACAAACACAGACTTAGGAAGAATCCAAACTCACTGCTGTTGAGTCAGGTCCGACTCGTAGCAACCCCTCCTTGGGTTTCCGAGGTGGTATCTCTACAGAAGTAGATTGCCCAACTTTCTTTCTGAGGAGTGGGGCTAGTGGGTTTGAACCGCCAGTCTTCTGATTAGCAGTCAAATGCCTCAGGCTCTACGCCACCAGAGCTTCATGGACTTAGAGGCCATCTAATGAGGCAGATGTTTACATGTTTAACTATTTCCCATTAGTTATAAATTTCCAAAACTCTGGATTCTAGGCCAGCCCCCTCCCTTTACAGATGGGGACATAGAGGGACATAGAAAAGTTAGTCAAGTACTGTCACACACAGCGTTAATTGCAAAACCCAAACTAGAACCCATTCTTGTCCAAAGTTACTAGGGTCTTAATCCAAGGAAATAACCTCTGGCCTTTCTGACCATTCTTTTCTTCAACTATACCATCAATCCCCACTGCCGTAGAGTTGTATCCGACTCACAGCAACCCCTACTTGGGTTTCCAAGGCTATGTATCTCTGCGGAAGTAGATTGCCCAACCTTCCTTCCGAGGAGTGGCTGGTGGGTTTGAACCTCCAGCTTTCTGGTTAGCAGTCAAGTGTCTTAGGCACTACACTACCAGAGCTCCTATACCATCAATAGTAGTCCTTAAACATTTTATTTG